AATGAGTCAATACGCAGTCGAGACAGCTCGACAAATCAACCAGGTGTGAGGGCCCAATAGTGTTGGAGAAAGCACCGTGCGACAATTGTTCTGCAAATTTCGTTCTGGAAATTTCAGCCTTGAAGATGAATCTAGTAGCGGTCAACCTAAAGCAATACCTGATGAGGATTTGAAGGCGTTTGTGGAGGCTGATCCATCCCAAACAGTTCGAGAGATTGGAGGCTGATCCATCCCAAACAGTTCGAGAGATTGGAGGCTGATCCATCCCAAACAGTTCGAGAGATTGCAGAAAAGCTAGGCATTGGCAAATTCACTGTAGCGGATGGTCTGAAGCGCATTGGGAAGGTAAAAAACTCTACAAGTGGGTGCCCCACAATTTGAGTGACCGGCAGAAATTAGCACGTCTTTCTTATTCGCTGCTTTTGCGCAACCGAAACGACCCGTTTTTGGACAAAATTGTCACCTGTGATGAAAAGTGGATCATGTATGATAACAGGAGACGTTCCGCACAGTGGCTGGATGCCGACGAACCACCGAGGCAATTTCCAAAGCCGAATCCTCACAAAAAAATATTATGGTCACAGTGTGGTGATCATGGGCTGGTGTGATCCACTATAACTTTTTGCCACGGGGCCAAACCATTACAGCAGAACCCTACTGTGAAGGAATCGACGAAATGTACCGAAAATTTTGTCAGCTGCAGCCAACACTTATCAAAAGAAAGGATCCGATTCTTTTGCATGACAACGCCCGTCAAAAGAAAGGATCCGATTCTTTTGCATGACAACGCCCGCCCACATGTTTCATACCTCGCCCACCATATTCTCCAGGCCTTTCACCAACCAACTATCAGCTTTCCAAACATTTTCAGAACTTCCTTGCTGGAAAATACTTCATCAATCAGGACCATGTCATACATCGTCTGTCATACATGTCTGAAACTCTTCGAGACAAGAAGTTGCCAGAGACCTCGAGTTGAAGATATTTGGCAGTGTCGCTCGATCGTTCGCTCGGTGGTAACGTATGCTCCTCTTCGCGGTGTCAGTGTTGGTCAATCAATTACGAGAATCAAGGTGATAAGTGGCTTAACGAGGTGGTGGAGTCTGCTCCTGCACGTGGTGTCACTGGGTACTGCTCGCTGTGCGAGTTGCTAAACGCAGACACACGAACGCAAGTGACAGGCTTCCGTGACGGGCCGGCCTACAAACACCCATGTCACATCAACATCTTTGATCATGCCTTATGTACATCGAGATACTGCTACGGCGTCGCGCAGTCGTATGGCCCGGCGAGTGTGGAAAGTATGCGAGGGTGCAGGGACGGCATCGGGGGGCTTCCAGGCTAGTCTACAATCCTGGCAGTGTAGCGTGTAAAGTCCATATTGCAACGTTAAACGTTGGAACATTGACCGGACGTTCATGCGAATCAGCAGAGGCACTGGAGCGCAGGCGGATCAATCTTTGTGCAGTGCAGGAAACAAGATGGTCCAGCTGCAAGTCGAGAGACCTTGGACGAGGGCTCAAAGCAATTCTTCGTCGCAAGCCAGACTACTAGCGGTGTGCCGATAGTCGTCTCACGACGTTTCCGTGACTCGCAAGCTAGCGTAGAACGTTTCGACGACCGTTTGATGAAGATTGTTCTTGCTGTCGAGCAGCGACTGTACCACTTCTTTTCTGCTTATGCCCCGCAAACGGGATGCGCTGACCAATCAAATTACGAGTTTTGGACTATGCTTGAGGAGAAGACAGCTGAGGTACCGTCAGAGAACGTAATAGTTGTCGCCGGTGACCTGAACGGGCACGTGGGCGCACGAGAGACGGTCACAGCTGTCATGGTGGTTTCGGTTATGGGACACTTAACGTCGGTGGCGAACGCATCTTGGAATATGCAGAAGCCCATAATCTCGCCATCGTGAACACAAAGTTCCGTAAATATGACTCCCACCTGATAACCTTCTACGGTGGAAGCGCCAGAACGCAAATAGACTTTGTTCTTGTCAGGCACCGCGATCAACTCGTCACAGCCGCAAAGACCATGCCATATGAGACGGTAGCCTCAACATCGCCCGCTTATCTGTACGTAAAGATAACACCGCCCAGGTCGAAACAGATGGAGCGATGCGGCCCAAGAATCAAATGGTGGCATATGAAAGAAAAGGAGGGAGCTGTGATCTCTCGCATTCAATTACCAACCGTCACAGCTGTCGACGAAACGTGGAAGAATGCTGCCTGCCCAAGCCGCTCGCTCTAAATTTGGCACAACGAAACCTGGAAGGCGCAAAATTGAAAAGCAGGCATGGCTGTGGACGGATGACGTCAGTGTAAAGGTTCGCGAGAAGAAGAAGCGCTATCACTTGTTCCTCGAAGACAAGACAGCTGACAACTGGCGTAAATATCGGGAAGCGAGAAGTACAGCAAAGAAGGCTGTGGCTGCGACAAAAGCTGTTCACTTCGAAGACATCAGCAAGAAGCTGGAAACGCGCGATGGCGAACGGCACATCTACCGACTCACCAAGGCTCGTCACCACCAGATGTGGAGAAGTTCTTTGGCATCAATGACGAGACGGGCCGCCTCCTTATGGACCGAACAAAAGTGCTGAGGCGCTGGCGCGAGTACTTTGGAGGAATTTCCACAGTGGAATATGAACAGCCAGCCATCCCCTGCGCATTACCAACATACGGACCCATTCCAAAGATAAGCGTGGGAGAAACGGAGGCGGCTCTCAAGAAGATGAAGCCAGGCAACGCGACGGGCCCGGAAGACGTAGCGGTCGAAGTATGGAAGTCACACTACTGGCATGCTGCCGAATGGCTGACAACGTTTTTCAATCAGGTCGTTGCAGAGAAGAAATGCCTGAAGTGCGGCAAGAGAGCACACGGTGCCCTGTACAGTGGTTGACGGAGTTGTTCAATCAGGTTGTTGCTGAGAAGGAGACGCCCAAGGACTGGCAAGAGAGCACGACGATTCCGATTTGGAAGAAAAAGGCAGTCCTGCAGACTGCTCAAATTATCGTCCAATTCGCTTGCTCTCGCACAGTATGAAAATTTTCGAGCGAATTGTTGATAAGCGTCTTCGTGATATCGTTCAGCTCTCTACCAACCAGTGTGACTTCGTGCCTGGCTGTAGCACCATCGACACCATACACGCCGCTCGTCTCTTGCCTAACGGCAGCACGGCGTTCCCGAAAAACGATTGAGTGCGTACGCATCTAATTCAGCCCGACAAGTCGAGTACGAAGTCCAGCAGGCATTTGATGGAGTTCCCCATCACAGTTGGGGTGCACCAAGGCTCAGCGCTCTTCCCGCTGCTCTTCGTTGTCGTCATGAACGCCATTTCGCGGGACCTCCAGAAGCCGGCTCCCTGGACGCTTCTCTACGCTGACGGTGTTATGCTCGCCTGCGAGGATAAGAATAGTCTCGAGGAACAAGTGCAAGCTTGGACAGAACGCTTAGCAAACTTCGGGCTCAGATTGAACATTAAGAAAACCGAGCACCTGACGACTAACCCGGACGAGTCTGGTTCCCTTAGGGGCGTCAGTGTGCTCACGCGAACGACAGCGTTCAAATACCTCGGATCAACAATGACCTCTGACGGTAGCCTCGACTCAGAAGTGAGCGCACGTGTGAGCGCAGCCTGGTCTAAATGGGTTCTCTGCGACAAGACAATACCAGATCGCCTCAAATCGAAGATCTATAGGACCCTCGTTTGACCAGTCGCGATATATGGTGCGGAATTTGGCCTGCCACCAGAGAAGTTGAAGCGCGCCTCGGAGTCATGGAGATGAAAATGTTGCGGTGGATCGCCGGTGTCACGCGTATGGATCGCGTACGCAATGACAACATAAGGAAGAAATTCAGTGTAGCTCCCGTGGCCGAGAAAATGCGCGAAGCTGGCCTCCGATAGTGTGGTCATGTTCTTCGCGCGAGTGAAACCGTCCGCAGTGGTCTTGAGCTCGAGGTTCATGGAAAGCGGCCTAGAGTACGCCCCAAGCAGCGCTGGATAGATCGTTGTATGCGGAATTAAGGATAGTTGGCGCTCATCCCGATCAAGCATTCAATCGGGAGAAAAGGCGTGACAAAATAAGACGAGCGGACCCCGCTACAGAGCGGGGCAAACGTTGAGGAGGAAGAAGAAGAAGAAGAAGAAGAAGAAGAAGAAGAAGAAAAAAGTTGCTCGATCGTTCCGCTATATATAGTACTGAGTGCTGTCCCGGAATCAAAGAAGTCGAAGTCCGCCTCATTGTGAAGGAGAAGGGAATGTTGCGCTGGACGGCGGACGTCACGCGTTTGGACAGCATATGTAACGATATAATGCGTGGAATGTTCGGTGTAGCTCCTAGCTTACACAAAAGCACATTCGATGATGCGGCCATGTACTTCGCGCAAAGGCTGATACCATCCGTAAGACTATCAACATGACTCGCCTGGAGAGCGGTCTAGAGGACGTCCCAAACAGGCTCGATACGCTGCATACAGACTTGTAAATAGCTGGAATTCTCCCCTAACAGGCATTTAATCGAGAAAAATTTGTGTCGTCATATCAGAAGAGCGGACCCTGCCACCGAATGGGACAAGCGCTAGAGAATAAGAAAAAGACGAAAGTGGCCTCATCATTTTGCATTATCGGGAGAGTGACTGTTCGCCAGAAAATTATGGTAAAACTATTGCTTTACTGAGCTAAGTTCCGTGTAGGCATGCAATCCATATTATTCAACGCTTTTGCTTTTTCTTTGCTGGAATTTTTCGAAAACATCTCTGAGAATGGTTTGAAGAGATTCATAGGAAGTCTTATCATTTCGTGACGCAGTGTGTTCCCCGTCTCCACAACTAGTTTTTTGAACCCATTTTTTGTTGTGGTCTTCGTTTCTTTACACCCTTTTCGCTTTTCAAATGTAAGACGGCGACATGAGATGCTAGGGCAGAACTTCGATTCTTTCATGCCAGGTTGCTGGATTTGAGTCGCAGAATTTCCAGGTTCTGGAATCTAATGGTTCTTCTTCGATGGCGTCCGTTTGCGGTGGTAGTCTTGCACTATTGGACGCTGGGGTGCCTATATCAGCTTCCGTAGCTGGGGTGGCTATAGGATTAATTACCGATCGAGAGTAGGTCTCTTTGATTTATTGGTCGAGTTCAAAATCGTTTCTTGTCTTCTTACAAGGGAAG